GAGGAAAGGTTATCTGGGGAGTGGGGGGTGGCAAGTGAGGGTCGGGCGGCGGAGGTCGGGGGTTGGCTGATCAAAGGGAGGGAGGGAGGGGGGGGGCATGGCGCATGTGGAGATGGGGATAAGGGGTTTCCGCGTGTCGGCGTGTAAGCAGCAGCCACCCCGGCCGAGGACGGCGGCAGCCAAAGCACGCAACGGGGTCTTGAAGCAGAGCACGAGGAACGCCACACAAGGGCAGGCAGTATGCAGCCCAAGAACGGTCAGGCGGGACGCCGCAGGTTACGAACCGCCCCGGCCGACCCACCCGTCGGAACTGCCGGATTACGTAAGGCGCGTCATCCCACTCCTCGCAGCTGTGGAGGGTCACCTCGCGCCGCACAAGGTGCCACAGCGCGAACAGCGCCCCCGGGCGCCCCGCGGCCGCCGCAGCCAGCAGCACGACCGGCGCCGGCCAGCCACGATGCTCAATATCCAGCCCCTCGGCCGCGGCCGCGGTTGCCGCCGCGTTGTCGCTGCGGCCGCGGCGGCCGCCGACGGCCCGGCGCAGCCACCTCGGGCCGCGCAGGGGGCCAGGGGCGGCGGCGCCGCCGCCTGCTGCGGGATGGTCGTCCCGGAGCGGCGATGCGGCGCCGCTGCCGGTGCGCGGGGACAGGGAGGGGAACTCCTCATAGGAGTGGTGGTGCAGGGTCGCGGGCGGCAGGTAGCCTGTTCGGGAAGCAATTTGATAGGGCGCCTTGTTAATAGAGTATGTTCATCGGGTCGCATTGCAAAGCAGCAGCCGGGCAGGACCCAGAGCTGCCATCGGCCGGCGCGTTTCGTTTAGGGCGGACCCTTAAGCAGCTCCAGCAGTGGCGGAACGTTTCAGTCCCCTGTGTGCCCATAGCACCTGCCGCCGCTCCCTGCAAGCAGGCCATAGGCCCCCTACCTCCGGCCTCGGCTTCGTCAGCTGCAGCCTCCCGCAGCCGTTCCTCCTCGGCCTCTACTATCCTCTCCCCCTCCTCCGCGTCGTTCGCCAAGTCAGCCCACACCAACTGCCGGTAAGTGCGAGCGTCGATGTACAAGTCTGTCGACCCCTGCCGCTGCGCCTGCGACTGCGCCGCCACGCCTGCGCTAGCGGCGCGGGCGGCGGCGCCGCCCGCAGAGCCGCCGCGCCGGCCGCCGCCGCCGCGGACAGGGCCCCGCAAGGCGCCGGGGTCGCTGGCGCGGTGAGGGGCGGCGACGCGGAACGGCTCTGGCCGCTGCAGCGGCGGCTGCGCCGCGCTGGCGATGCTCCAGGCGCCATCAAATGCCTGGCCCCCCTGCTGCTGCTGCTGCTGCTGCTGCTGCTGCTGCTGCCACGGCGCCATATCAGCCGCAGCCTCGCTGGACGGCGAATCCGGGAACGACAGACCGCCCTCTGCACCGCCGCCGCCGCCGCCCCCTGCCGAAAGGCTGGCGTATGACAGCAGCCTCGACGCCTGACGTCCAGCAGCAAACTTGGGCCCTGGATAAGCAGAGTATGGCAGGGGTCGGCAGCTGCGATTAGGATGGGGGCACACAGCTCAAGTAGGGTGGGTGGTGGTCTGGCAGGCCGCAGTTTTTCAAGGCAAAAAGCACAGCGCCGAGCAGCAAGGATTTTGTGACGGCCTTGGGCCAGCCCAGCCCCGGCGGCGGCGGCGGCGGCGCAGCTTCAGGACGACACCCGTCGGCGAGCGGCGGCGCGCGCGGAGGAGGGAGGGGGCGCGGCCACGGCCGCCGCCGCGGCGGCAAGGGCCCTTCGCACCGTCTGCGCCGGCGCGGGCGTCCCCCGGCTCCTCTGCGCTGGCCCAGGTCAGCAATGACTCATTGAGGGCCTCCCTTGACGTGCCCAGCCTGCTCCAATGAGGTTTGGGGTGTTGCGTTCGCTTGATCAGCAAATGAACAGGGCACGGCCAACGGTGTAGCAGCCGTGAAGGGGTGCATGCGGGCCGTGGCAGGCGGCCCCCGGGATTCTCCTCAAGGCGCGCCTGGCGGCCCCCAAGCCTCCAGGTGCGGCGACCTTAGCCCTTGCGAGGCGTGCCCCACTGCAGCCAGCAGCAGCGGCGTGTGCGCCTTCATCCCGTTGACCGAATAAAAAAGCCCCGGCCGCGGCCACCGCCAGGGCGCGCTCGCCGCCAAGACGCCCTTCAGCGCCAGAGGGGGCCGCCAGCGCACCCCCCAGTAAAAAGGAGGGGTCCAGATCCCTCACCCGCGCCGCCGCAGGCTGTCCGCCATTCGTCGTAGGTCCGGCCGCCCCCTCTCGTGCCACTCGTCGCCCACAAAGACCCAGATGGCATACAGCAGGTACACGCTGACAGCCCAGCCCACAAAGACGCGGTTGATCTGGTGTGCGAGAGCGCGTGGGGGGCGATGCGACGGGCGTGAGCGTGCACGTGCGCGTGGCGTTTGTGGTTGAACGTATTGTATTATCGTGCATGTGTGTGTTTGTGTGTGCTACTGGGTGCAACAGTGACTGTTTTGTATCAAGTACAAAGGGCAGCTTATGATCATGACGAAGCACATATACATACAGCAGCACAGTGAAGCACTGATACACGCTATGTATATGTGCTGGTGCGCGCGTACACACACACGCACACGCACACGCACACACGCACACACACACACCGCCGCCCCCCCTCACCGTCCCGATGGCGAATGCCAGCAGCACCGAGGCTATGCTGACACAGTACACTGCCACATCACGCGTCATCGCCCCCGCACACTTGACGCCGTTGGGGCTCATGGCGATCAGCTGGGGTGGGGTTTGTGAGCAAGCGGGGCAGGGGCGGGTTGAGGGGTGGTGACAAAGTAAAGGGGTGAGGGGGTTGGTGGACAAAGGGGTGACAAAGGAGGAGTCGGGATGAGGGCGCATCGGTGAGAGGTTGATGAGAGGCAAGGAAAGGGGAATTCAGGAGGGGAGTGGGTGGATTGTGGTGAACGGTAGCCCGCGCGGGAGGGGCTGCAGGAGGGAGAGCCGCAGTCAGCCTGACGTTTGTATAGTTGCAAGAAGGGAGCTCCAGGGTACTGAAAAAGGGGTAGAGCGCAGGCTGGGGCACCCAGTTGCTGCAAAAAATCGCGTGAGGGCAGGGCGCACCCCCTTGCGCAGCAGCGAACGAGCAGAGGCGCCCTCCTCCTCGCCACCCCTCCCCTTTCCCACCCTGCCCGCCCCTGCGGTGGACGCCCCGCACCTCCGCCGCGACAATGCACTGCACAAACATGGCGGCGCCGGTGATGCCGCCCGCGGAGAGCAGCACCTCCCCGCTCTGGATGGCGGCGATGTTGGCTGACAGGTCGGGCGCGCCGTTGCCAAGAGCCACAAAAGTCACTGTCCGGGGGTAAAAATTGGCGGCGGCGGTGGGGTTTGGGGCTATCGGCGGGTTGGTTGAGGAACGATGGGATGCGCTGGGTGCGGCCGAGGATGGGTCGCGGGTTGGTTGCTGGTGCGTTCACCGTCCAAAGGCACAGCCCCGGGGGGTGCAGGGGTGTCCCTCAAGCCGCTGATGGTCGTGCGCCCAGGGCGGCGTATGCGCGCAC